CCCCAAAACCCCAAAACCCCAAAACCCCGATATAAGGATACAAAACTGGAGATAATATAATAAATATGAAGTTGCTCAACACTGTACTCAGAGAAATCCTTCTGTTTCTTGAATTCAAAGACATTGTCAATTCCAACTTGGCCTTTGTCAACAAACAGTTCTTCCACAACATCGTGTAAGCAGGTCGCTTCATTGTTAGGCAAGACACAGAGCTGCTCAGGAGGATGCTTGACATTGCAATTCCGCTAGTGAAGGATTATGCCAGACAAGAACAGTACTATGCTTCGGTCACTTCGAAGATACTGAGACTGAAGCATCAGCATCTGAACGGAGATGAAGAATTCAAAGAGTAAGTTTTTATTGTTAATTTTTATATTTGCTTTAGATCAAATATACCATTCAAAAGATTGTTTGAGTTTTGTGCAAAAGATCTTGCTGAATTTATGCTCAAAATTAACAAGCAAGAACATCTTAAGCAATTAGTTTGCACTCAAAGAACAACAGGTGGAGCTGAAACTTTTGATGATCAGTGCTTGCGTGCTTTCTTAGAGACAGAGTCCATTTACTATTCAAACGATGAGGATACGTACACAAATGGAGTTTTTTGAGTAACAGGGATCCCTCTGGAGCAAGATCTAATAAATGTAATACACTTAAAATTTGATTCATACTTCTAAATAGGAAACCAAAGCCAAGGAATTGTTCATTAAAGTCTTGAACATCCAATACGAGATAGGAGATATCAAAACAGAGGAAGAAGGCAAGCAAGAGGATTATTCAAGATGGGCCAAAGTTAATGAAATTAGAGTGCAGGTATCTTATATTTTCCTTCTAATCTATCATTTTAATTATAAAATACTATTCACCCTTCTAATATCATTATTATCAAATATCCCGCCCTTTGGGTTATCAATTACCTAAAATTCTATTTCTCATATAAATTTCTTTGTCTTGAGCACCAGTAAAACCTATTCCCTCTTCCTCAACAAACATTTTGTAATCTTTGAATCATTATGCTCGATGGTAGTAAATCAAAGAATGTAAGTAAAAGAAAAGACAAACCTTTTGTATTTTACATAACATTATTTTAAGTCAATCCAGTACCTAAATTTGCACCAATTGTTGAGATTGAGGGCTGATACGAATTGTAATACCTACATAGCAAGGTTCTAAAACTTCGTATTGTTAGGAATATTAAATATAATTGCGTCCTTCTTTACTAATCCTCTGATAGAGAAAGGAATCAGAAACACTGATTTTTAAATCTTAGTGCTGAGTCTATCTTAGTTAATAATTATAAATTCTGTATGTGATTGATGAAAAATGCATATAAGATTTCTAAGAAATTATTCCAAAGCTAAATCAATTTATAGTAGAGGACTGTCCATATCTAAGCCTTTAACAATCTGAGACTTAATTTTCTAAAATTTATGGTTTAAACTCAAGTAGTAAGAAGAATTATGCTATTATTTCAGAATATTTGCATGCTTCTTGAGCAAGATAAATACAGCTGGCATCCTCAAAATCCAGCCAAAGCTTGAGATTTTAGAAGATATGAATTTGTCTCATCATCTATAACAAACTTATTGTCTCTCGCCAATGGACTAAATTCCTATGGGTGATAAATCAGATACTTTTTATTGCATGAATCGCACTCACATTAGCCTTAAATAGGACCTTCACAAGAACGATACTGAATGCGAACCTGCTGAACTTTTCAACCGTTGGTACAGAAACAGACTTATGTATAATATCAGAAAGGAAGAGATAAAGGTAAGCCATATGGAGTTTTAGCGAACTTTTAAACAATCTTAGTAAGATCTGGAGATCAAATCTAGATTTCTCATTGTTCAAAGTTCTTCAATGTACTCAATTGATTTGAAGCTTTAAAAGTTTATTTTTGAAGCAGATTGAAAGGATCTTTTATCCCAAACAAACTGATCTTATTCAATAAAACAAGACAATGAAGACACATTGTATTCTTAATTTGGTTAATATTCTATTTGGTTTACAAATAAATGGCTTCAGTTAATTTAGCATATATTTAGAAGAATACTCCTTTATTTTGTCTAAACCTTGCATTTAGGAAGAGGATTGCAATATTGAATATGACATATCAGTGCACCAAGAAATCATGAAAGACTCACTTTTCTATTGGAGCCAATTCCATGTAAGACGTTTCATTATTTTAGGTGATGGAGACAAGAAGAGCTACTTGTCCGATTGAAACCTTAGCTATTTTTACACATGATTATCCCATTAAAACTGAATGCCATCCTTTGGTACACATCATCAAGGACTTATATTGTAAAAGCAAAAGAGAGCTGGATTCACCGGCACCAAGAAGTATATTTTACAGTGGTCTTGAAGTGAAATCCACATTTTGAGATGTCCAAAGTTTTATTCAAACTCTTGATATGATCGCTAAATTAGGTTTGATCCCCAACATCATTGACACACAGGAGAAGTCTATAGAGTTTGAGCAGGATTTTTATTCAGCAAAATTTCAAAATACAGACCAAGGTAAGCAAGATTGCTCATATCTAGAATCATCAATCAGCACTGAGTGTCTTGAGAAAGCTATTTCAGACATTGACTGTGACAACAAGTACATGGAAATGCTAGATGGGTTAGAGTCTAAGTAATATAATTGGCTTATATCTTAGAGATGACTTCTTCAGACTCAGATTGTCAGCCATTGCCTTTAATCTTGATGTAAGCAATAAATAACTTTGTATAGACATACACAAATTCACACACATTTTCAATGAAGGAAATAAAATTTGGGCGATTCGTGACTGTATTAGGTATTGTATTCAGTCTAGCTTCTTAATTTTAGACGCTTTTGTCAAACCTAACTTTATCATAGCTCTCGACAAAAAAGTTAGAATGCTATATGGCGGTGTCAACATCGACATTGGAGGAGTCTTGTTCTCAGGAAATTTCTTGCCCAGCATGATACAGCCAGTTCCATAATGTTCAATTACTGGAGTTAGTGTCGGGGTTTTGGGGTTTTGGGGTTTTGGGGTTTTGGG